CACGCTCTCACATGAAGACGAGTGAGCTGATGTCTCAATGTCTGAAAAGAAAGTTAAAGGGATAAATTATTCACCTAGTGCCAAAGAAAAGTTATGAGAAATGGACAGATATAATGATTTAGTTATGTTTAATGTAGTAATCCCATATATCAGCCGCTATGAAGGCGTTAGTAAGCTCCAGTAAGATTAATATTTCTAGGATTAACGATTTGATAACTTTATGCTTTACATGAGGCAATTTAAAGATAACCTAAGTCTAATAGTTATAAAATCATAAGGACTCTAATTGAGACTCTGTTTTATGAGGCTTCTATACTCGCCTTTAATATTGTGCGAGTCTTACTGTCCATCACTGAAACCTGTGGCAAGAAAGAAAGAACAAATATCCATACTGTAGAAAATAAACACACCGAATAAACGTTAAGGATAAACCTGATAAAACATCATAAACCAGTTAAAACGAAGACAGGAAGAACTTCATGAACACTGTCTTTGTCGTTCAATACACTGCTCTCGATGCGCTACCATACGTATACCAAACCACATAACAGATTTCGCTGTGGAGCTTACGATATATGTATTAAGTAGAATCCAACTAAAGTGAGCGTATTTAACGAAGCAAAGTTGAAGAGCTCAGTAGATCAGAAACAAAGTCGAGTACAGTCAGAGAGCCAACCTATGTATAGATGATTTACTTCAAGTTGGGAATTCGGTGACGTAAGGACTAGATTCAAGAGACCTCGCTAAATATATTTAATTATGACGAAGCTTGCTCAGAGAGTCGAGCTAAGTAATTTTCAAAGTTATCATCGGAGTGACTATACTTTTATGAAATGGAATAAAGTTCATAAAGAAAAACTCAAAAGGTGAAGTTTAAGACAGGAGTTAAGTGGAGTGAAGGGCCTGAGGGTTGTGGTCTGTAATGATGAGTACATTAGGTGAAGAGTTAAACTAAAGGAGCCTTATGACACCAAGTTCAGGGGCGCAGTTGAGTGTAAACAATCAACTGAAATAAGCGGAGGAGTAAAGTTAAAGACCAATTGCGGGTAAAGTTTAGGGATATTTAACTAAATTAAGCCGGGGAGCGGCAGCAAAGTTAAAGAACCAAGTAAAGTAAAGTTGAGGGACCCGGCAGCCAGCCATGTAAAGGTCGAGATAGTGTAGAAACATGGGACGGGGGACACCTGCGAAGCGACGACGGGGCAATAGCGTGGTTATATATATATTTATATAAATATTTGTGATGTGACACACACACACACACACACATACACACACACACACACACACACACACACACACGGACGGGGCTCCCAGGTGTGTGGCGTGAGGAAGAGGGGTTGTCGAGGGCCGTGTGGAGAGAGAGGGGAGGGAAAAGAGAGGGGAAGGGAGGTGGACTGGGCTGGTCTCGGCTGGCATGTTGGGATTGGGTGGGTGGGTGGAGGACCTGGTATGTTGAGAGTGGGTGGGTCTCTTGGCTAGACGTTCTTCAACGCTGTGTGCGTGCGTGTGCGTGCGTATGTGTGTGTGTGTGCGCGCGTGTGTGTGTGTGTGTGTGTCCTCTCTTTTTCTCACTCATTGACCTTCTTTCCTCTCCTTCTCTCTCTCCCTATCTCCCTTCACCTCTTCTTCTGGAACTGACCTGTATACGTGCGGGGAGTGAGTGCGTGTCTGGCATTCTGTGTGTTGGGTGTGAGTGTGCGATACAGCGTACGTGATCAATGACAAGTGATGGCATGCTACACGGGATTGGTCTATTGGATCCTGAATAAATCGTAGTTGCCGCATGAAAATTGTAAACAACAGCAAGAAAATGTCAGGTAGGAGGAAGAGGCGTATGAATAATGGAAAAAAAGGAGACTATATAAGAAGCCAGATGAAAGGAGAAAGAGAAAAAGAAAGTTGGATGAAAGAAGAAGACAGAGAAACGAAAGCCGAATGAAAGGAGAATAGAAAGAGGTAGAGAGGGAGGAATGAGAGAAAAGGGATACGAAAAGAAGAAAATGTAAACAAGGGAAAGCGACTACCATCAGAAATGAGAAACATCATATATACAAATTGTCCTAAACCGGACATACGGTATGTAGACAAGGACCTTGGGAAAAGGACACAGGAAATGGATGTCCAAAGTTGTGGATATGTGAGGTGAATGTCCGCAACGGGGGCCGTGTGAAGAGTTTTGCATGTAAAGGGGATGTATGAAACTGTAATGCTGTGAAGAAACCCGGGGAGTAAAAGAATTTCGGAAAGAGATGGAAGATGGGCGTTAAATAAGAGAGAGAGAGAGAGAGAGAGAGAGAGAGAGAGAGAGAGAGAGAGAGAGAGAGAGTATTACAGATAGAACAACAACTTGAGATAGATGTAGAGATACAGGAAAGATATAGCAATAGATTTCAAGATGTGAAGAGAGAGAGAGAGAGAGAGAGAGAGAGAGAGAGAGAGAGAGAGAGACTGAACCTGAGATTGAAAAAAAATATATATACAGTATATATATATATATATATATATATATATATATATATATATATATATATATATATATATATATATATATATATATATATATATATATATATATATATTTATACATGCACTCAAAACGATTGCTGTCTGATGATAATTTGGTAGCTTGTCTGTACGATATGTCGGACTAGACCATATAAGGGTGAGGTAGTGATAATTTCGGGTGACTTTCCAAATATGTGGAGCAAATTTTGACATCAGTTAGTGGTAAAGCTATTCACAGGTGGGTAGTTTAGATCAGGGTTCCTTAGATAATCTGAAAACTCGGCCTTTAACAGATCGAACGCCAGCGATTATTACTCTCAATTCACTCTGATTGATGAAGTGATTTTTAGAGTTATGCTAATACGTGTTAAACTGGTGAATGAAGTGTGAATTTGACGGAAATCTTGACGCATGATAGATCCTCATGAATGCAAGACGAGTTGATTGATCTTGGAATGTGTGTATGTGTGTGTCCGCGGCGGGGGGTTAAATGTTAGAGGGAGTAGAACGTGTCTTGTCAGTCGAGGAGATAGATCTTGCGTGACAATTTTGGAGTAGGTGTAGTGCAATGATTGTCGTGGGAAGGTAACTCGGAGGAGGACTATGGGTTAACATGGAGGAAGAGAAGGAGGAGGGTGGGTGGGCTAACAAGGAGGAGGAGGAGGAGGAGGGAGAGGAGGAGGAGGAAGGAGATAGGATGAAGTGCGATATAGGTTGTCAGCTCAGCGAGAATCATGATGCAACGTGGAGGAAACCCAGAAGGCAATAGGAATATTTACTCGGGTTTTTTGAACTTTGAATAGGTGATGGGTGTTGGAGTAAGCGCCAGAGATATAGAGTAAGTCATGGGTAGATAGAGTACGCCAGTAAAAGGAGTAAACCATGGGTGGGTGGAGTAAATTATAGACGAGTGTAGTAAAACATTAGTTAAAGTAAGACAGTTTGATATAGACAAAATTTAAGGCTTTGATATACTACATTGTTTTGATGGTCAAATAAGGTCGGCAATAATCCAGCTTTAAGAGTCCCATTCAACTCAGACATTTAGAGTAAGCTACGAGGTCCGTTGAAGAAAATAACTTGGTAATAAAGTAGGTCTGGAAGAAGAGTAACCTACGAAATAGAGTAGGGTGGTAGATGAGTTTGCCGCCACGAGATAAAGTATAGGCTCTTATAGGTAGCTCATTCCAACAGAGGAAATAGCTTGATTTTAGAGTAGGTCTGATAGTGAAGTAAGTGTGATAGCAGAGTAGGTGTGGTGGAGGAATTATATGTTGGTGCGAGAGTAAGTTTGGTTTACTAGATTATGTTTGGTAGGAGAGTAAATCTTATAGTAGAGTAGATTCTTTAGTAAATTTCGTAAGTGAAAGCAAAGTGGCGTATATGTAAAGAAGTAGACTTAGTTAGCAGGCTTTACTCACTCCTATAGTGGGCGTGATGATAGGCCTTTTAATATAGCAGTCCTAGTGCCAGAGTAAGACTAGTGGTAGACTGTTTTTGAAGTAGACCTATTAAGTAATCAAGTAGTATAGTAGTTATATAGATTGAGTATGTCTGGCAAAAAAGATAATCCTGAATAACTGAGTGTGGTATTAGAGGAGCTGGAATAAAAGAGTAGGCCTTGTGATGAAGTGTGTAGAGTAAGCATAATATTTGAGTAGGCATGATAGTTACGTAGATCCTCAGGTAGAATGAGCATACACAGTAAAATTAGGTTGGTAGAAAGTAGGCCTAATTGAAAGAGTAAGCCTGTCTTCACAAGTTCTAGTTTATAAAGAAAGACTGTTCTTAGAGTAGGCCTAATTACAGAAAAGTAGTCCAGTTGCAAGGCAGGTGGTGGTATTGTAGGCCTAGTGGTGGATAGTCTTGGCACTTTACCGAGCCTGGTGGTGGAGTAGATGTACTGTTAAAGTAAACCTAGTAGCAGAGTAAGCCCGGTAGCACAGTAGGCCTAGTAGTCAAGCTGTCATAGTAGTAGAGTAGGCCTAATTGTGTAGTAGGGATGTCAGTAGCCCTCTTAGTGGTTGACGAGTAACCTGGTAACAGAGTAAGTTTGGTAGCAAAGTAGGTGTGGTAGCTGAATAGGCCTACAAACAGAGTAGCCTGACCTGATTAGTAGAGTAGGCCTAGTAGTAAAGTAGGCCTACTTGTGGGGCAGGGGTGGTAGTAGGCCAGGCATTGTAGTAGGCCTGGTAGCTGAGTAAGAGTGGTAGCTGAGTGGAGTCGGTAGCGATGGAGCAGGGGCGGGAGTAGGCCTAGTTGTGGTAGTAGAGTAGGCCTGGCGTGGGTGTGTGGGGCGGGGCAGTGTCATGCGGGGAGTGGTGTTAGGGCGGGCGTCATGCAGCAGGTGGAGGAGGGAGGGAGGGCCGGGGGCGCGGCCTGCCAGCAGCGTCACGCCCCCGGGCTGCCAGGGCCCGCCCCCACGTGCGCCGCTCCTCGCCGCCGCCGTTGCGTGGCCGGGAGACCTGAGCTCACCCTCACCATTCGGCCAGTGTGCGCCAGCCAGCCAGCCACCACCGGGAATCGCGCGTGTGTGTGCGAGTCGGCCGGTCGTGACGTCACTGTTACGGAGCTAGTTCTTCCCGCGGACTCCCGTCTCAGTCACAGTCGTCCTGCGGCCGTGTGACGCAACCCATCCTCATTGGCTGCTTCTGCCTTTCCGGGCCGTCCTTCATATGTTTACACATAGCGACTGCTATGAGCAAATTTAATCCAGCACATGGTGTGGTAGCGCGGGTAAAATTTACAATTTGAAAATCGTTTGGTGTGTTGGTGGTGATCACGGTGTGCTACTGGACCTTCAGTTGGTTCTTGGTGTTGGTGGAGTGAGTGTGTCAGTAGGTGCTTGTAGTGTGTTACCTTCATAACCACAACCATGAACTCATACTTCGAACAGGGTGGTTTTTACGGCGGCGGCTCCGGCGGGGACCAGGCATACCGCTTTCCCTTGGGCCTCAGCGTGAGTCCTTATGGGCAGCCAGGACCACGTCAGGACGGCTACGATGCTTCAGCGGCCTCCTGCAAGCTGTACGGCGCCCCCCAGGATCACATGACGCCCAATCCTTTCAAGGTGGACTGCGCCAAGGACCAGAACGGTTATGGTATCACCAAAGACATGTCGGGAGGCTGGGGTCCTGCGGTGCGGCCTGCATGCACGCCGGACCCTGTGGTGGCACGCGGGTACCCGCCGGACCCCAGCACATCCCCACGGGACCGAACATCACATGTAGGAGCCTGGAATACGTGTGGCATGACACCCGTGTCCCAGCCTCACCAGCAACCTCAGCAGCAGCCCCAGCAGCAGACAAACAACCAGATGAATCAGCCACCCTCCAACACAACCTTCTACCCCTGGATGGCCATAGCAGGTACGTGCGAGGCGCCCACGTCGGTAGGGTGTGGGCGGCGCGGGCGTGGTGCCGCTGGCGGGGCACTGGCACCTGTAGGGCAGGTGCCAGGTGTTCCTGCTGCTGCTGCTGCATGGTGCCAGGCCCGGCCACACGCCTCCGTCACTCACCCGCCCCCACCACCTTCTTTTACATTCATTTCTAATTTCTCTTCACTTCCCAAAACCTCCACAAAAAATACCCTTCAACATACTCTTCCACTGTGTAATGTCATTCCATCAGAAACCCTCCGGATTCCAGCAGCATCCGACACCCCCCTCGTTGCTCTCATTTGCATAATTATCTAACGTGTCTATCTTCAGTAATACAATGAGATAATCAGGGTGAGGTTCTCGCAGAAAAAAAAGTTAGTTTAACCTACATTTAGCCGTGGGGGTCGCTCCATCCCCTACTGCGTTCAATCTCCCGCAAGAGAGTAAGACCAAATTAGGTTTTGGAAAAGAGGAAAGCCAGCGTTAATTTAGTATCCTATTCTCTGGGGGAAAAAATGAAAGAAAACAATTAGCATAGCAGAATGCAAAAATAAATCTCGTAGTCTTGTCTCCCCTCACAAAAAAAAAAATAAATAACACAAACTTGAAAAAGACCCAGGAAGAATTACTATTAATAACCTCCACTAAGTAAGTTTTATTCCCCGTGATGATCTGCAGTGATGTAGTGGACAAGTGGAAAAATAAAATGAGAAAATGTGGTGAAGTGAAATGCAACTATACATTGTGGAGACGAATGAAGCAAGTTTGTGAAAGATGTTTGAAGTGGAGTCTGTATTTCTGCACTGTATCTTATCGGTTATGATGTGCGTTATAGTGTATACCATCCTGAGTGATATTAAACACGGAAGAGATAGAAATTAGTGTAAAAGTGATTCATTTGATCAGAAAGAAAGAAGACTTAAGTAATACACAAGTGCTTCAAAATAATACAAAGTTAAAATTATGGATGGTGGATACACGAAAAAAATAAGTATATGACAAATGAGTGCCCAAAAAATAAAACAAGAGAATTGTATATGAATTCACAATAAGATATAAGTGTTTAGAAAAAAAGTTCATGTGAATTACCCCAAAAAACTGTATAGACAAAACAGAAAGAATGAATGAAATATTTTAATACAAATCCCGTATGAAAGTGTGTGAAGGAAATCCGACAGGTTAAAGTCATCTAAATGGGAAAAAAATAATTATCGTCTCGGATAATGATAACTATAAGTCCACAAACCTCAAGGAAGAGAAGGTGAGGTGAGGTGATGTATCCCAGTGAGAGGCGCCGCGGTGAAGGTGTTAGAGTAATATACGAGCCTGGTGTCGACCATCATAAATCAGAGGGGAAGAAGAAGATGAGGGGAAAAGGCACACGAGAGATAAATAAAAGGGGTAGGGGGGATGGGAAGGAAAAGATACTGTATTAAAAGAAAGAGAGAGAGAGAGTCACGCCAGTTGTGATAAGGGCGGGTAAGCGACTTCCCCCGGCCCAAGAGAAGTGAGTGTGAGCGCTTTGGCCACGACCTGAAATTACAGTGATTAGCCCGTAAGTGAGTGTTCCTTGTTGGCCTTACCGCGCACAACGTCTTTATTTTACACACACACACACACACACATACTCACATCGCTACCGAAGGCTGGAGGATTAAGTGAAAAAGTGACTTTAAATATGATCGCTAGAAACGTTTCCTTTCCTAATTTAGTTTATTTTTTGTCCTTCTATTGCCTCGTTTGTGACACTGTAAGACCGATCAATCTTAGGCTCAGCGGGTAAGCAGTTTACAGCAGGAATAGACGAGCAACGCACGGAGAGGGATAGTCAGTATGTAGCGACAAGGAATGTCTTCAGATAATTGCACACAGATGTGGTTCGCCACAGAAAAAGGTTCTCTTTGCCACATATTTTTTTTCTGTCTTCTTCTCCAGCTCTCTCCCCCTCTCTCGCCAGCACAAAGCAGGCCCACCCTTTAAAGACACGGACATATATATACACACACATACGCACAAAAAATCGCATTGGCATACAAAAGATGCGGTTATCACATAAAATTTCGTTCATTGTAAGTTATTCCTCAATTTTACGATAGTTTCACGTCATTTGAAGATTCACGTTTCGCTAACAAGTCGTTCAGCAAGCGTTCAGTTGAGTTCCTTTATTCTCGTGTGGTAAATAGTGCTGACTAAAATAAAGTGGAAATAACGCTAAAGCCGAAAATATTGACGTTTCGGTGTAGCAGGTCAGCGTGGCCCCGAAAGCTGTTACAATGTGATTTTCGGTCGAAACATCATACATCAAAACGTCTGTTAGACGGACACCCAGCTGTGTTAACTTGAAAGTCGGTGTCATATTTGAGATGGTAATTGTAAAATTGTTCTAAGATAACTCTAGTTGTTATACTGCCTCTTATTCAACTGTTGTACGTGTTTGTGTGTTCAAAGCTTAAGACGGAACCGCGCGAGTCCTCCGAACGCAGCCTACAGCTGGGGGAGTTTAATAATGTTGAAGGGCGAATTTTACCTATCACGGCTTTTACGGTCACTCAAACGCCTTTCCACAACACTAGCGCTGATTTCATGAATTGAAACACACTAACAAAGCCTACCATCAGATAAAACTTTCCTGCTTAGCTGCAAAACTTTTTTTTTTTTTTTTATTGTCGAAGATAAAAGAGGTCAGAACCTGAGAATAGAATTCACGGCCCGGCAACTAACCCCAACAAAAGTTTTGGCCCGTATCCACGGAGTGTGTTGAGTTCTTGTGTCATACCTACACCAGAGATATATCATGACGAGCACACATATCTACTGTGTATATATATATATATATATATTTTTTTTTTATATATGTATTAATTTTTCTTTCGATATCATACATAAAAAAAATAAACTGAGGAGCTGCCAGAACTCAGATAAAACAAACCCTCCACGACCTTTCCAAATATTCGTTCATAAGGATCCCTTTAAGACTTTGCGTTTCCTGAGGACACACACACGACCCTTTTCATATATTATATTGAGGTCTCCCGCATCAGGAATATTCGGAGTGAACTAGTCACCGGAAATCGCTCTGGGACTACACAATCTCCACAGATTTTCCACGCATGATCAACGACCTATGTTAGACGCGTGATACGTTTCCCCGGATGGTGGGAATGTATACACAAACCGTTAGTACTGATGGGCCCTCCAGGGTGACTCTTGACAAAATAATCTTGCGGTTTTACTTATTGCTTCCAACTCTTAATTCTGATACCGTTTTTGTTTTGTTTCTTTCTTATTACTTCTGTGTGTTTGTTTATCTTTCTGTTTAGTGCCTCTGTCATATAGTATTGTGTCTAAATTAATTGCCTCTGAAAACTCTCTCTCTCTCTCTCTCTCTCTCTCTCTCTAAAAATACACATATGTCTGCCTTTCTGTCTGTCACTGTCTCTCTTCCCCTTCCCTCAGCCATCTCCTCTACTACCACCACTATCACCACTACCCCGCCCCTTCCCATACATCTTGGAGGCAAAGGATGACGTTCTTTGGCCACTGACGAAACACCAAACAGGAATTTTTCGCTTAAGTACAAGAATGTGGTTTGTCAGGCTTACACTAGCGGTATTCTTGAGGCAAAGCGACGCACATCCATAATATGTCATTTTAATACATGAAAAAAAATAATTTCGATGTAAATATATATTGACGAAAATATATGAATTTGCCGAATATCTTAATTCGTTTACCTTTATTTAACTTTGTGTCATGTCTTTAGTGACGAAAAAAACCAAATATATAAATAGTAATATATATCCATGTACCAGTTATATATTTATAGTTATATGGAGCAGAAAATAGACAAAAATATATTTATTCATGACTGTCCAGTGAACGATGTGAGCGGTAACGGTGTATGCGAGTGACGGACGGTGTGAAGGTGTCCACACGACCGTAACCTGAATTCTGTAGTGTCCACTTTTCTTTTAGTAGTGTCCTATTCTGCGGTTTTAGTGTCCTTCCTTACAAGTAGTTTTCTTTGCTCACTAGTGTTTTACCTGTTAGTGTCCAATGTCAGTTGTGTCCTAAAGCGTTTTTCTTTTTAGTAGGCTCCAGTAATGTCCAGTTTTTAGTAGTGTGGAACTCCCTGTAATTTTCAATTCTTAAGTGTTCTTAATTCGCTGTAGTGTCCACTGTCAGTAGCGTCCTGTAATGTCCACCATTTACTAGTGTTCAGTACACATTGTCCTTACCTTCCAGTGTCCAACTCTTAGCGGTGTCCATTTCTGTGTTGAGCTTACCTGTCAGTAATGTCCACTGTTGTTTACATTTCATTTCATTACTCTCCATCTATTAGTAGTGTCCACATTTCCGTATTACCTTGTAGTGTGTCTGTCAGTAGTGTCCAGCTCTTGTAGTGTCCAGCTCTCTTGTGGTGTCCAGCTCTCTTGTAGTGTCCACCTCTCTTGTAGTGTCCCCCTCTCTTGTAGTGTCCACCTCTCTTGTAGTGTCCACCTCTCTTGTAGTGACCCCCTCTCTTGTAGTGACCCCCTCTCTTGTAGTGTCCACCTCTCTTGTAGTGTCCCCTCTCTTGTAGTGTCCCCTCTCTTGTAGTGTCCCCTCTCTTGTAGTGTCCCCTCTCTTGTAGTGTCCACCTCTCTTGTAGTGTTGTAGTGTCCCCCTCTCTTGTAGTGTCCCCCCTCTCTTGTAGTGTCCCCCTCTCTTGTAGTGTCCACCTCTCTTGTAGTGACCCCCTCTCTTGTAGTGTCCCCCCTCTCTGTAGTGTCCCTCTCTTGTAGTGTCCCCCTCTCTTGTAGTGTCCCCTCTCTTGTAGTGTCCACCTCTCTTGTAGTGTCCCCCTCTCTTGTAGTGTCCCCCTCTCTTGTAGTGTTCCCCTCTCTTGTAGTGTCCACCTCTCTTGTAGTGTCCCCCTCTCTTGTAGTGTTCCCCTCTCTTGTAGTGTCCATCTCTCACGGTGGTGTAGAGACACGTGGCCAACTAAGGTCTGGACACTCTGAGGACCAGTTAATGTGTAGCTGTGATTCTGTTTATCACCTCTGAAAGGCAATGATTCTCGAGTACCGACCGTGTGTATCTACCAGTGACGGCCTGTATGGGATAGTTTATTATGTGTATGACGTGACTCGGTCTTATTTCATTCCTCCTCTTTTATTAGTCTCTCCCTCCCTCTCTCGTTCTCTCTTTCTCTCTTTCGCTCTCTGTTTATCTCACGTCTACCACTGCACCTTGTTCTATCTCTTGTTTTTTCTATCTTGATTTTTGTATTTTTATTTGTTATTCTATTTCGTTTCATTTTCTTGTTGTCCTTG